ATGTAGAAACCCTTTATGGGCTTTTCAAATAAGCCAGCATTGCCCACATGAGGGTAGCTTTCTGTTACCATTAAACTGCCCAGATTTCATCTTTTTTAATCCAGCTCTTGATGAAATAGGCCAGCATTTCATCATATTTAGCACCAAATGCTTGTTTCTTAATTCCCTGAGTTTTATAAGCAATCAAATGGATGACTTAAAAAAAATTCAATAGTCTTCTCATTTAGGATTAATGTAAACTCCAAAGACCTAATGACTTTGAGCTTCTTAGGATAGTGCAGGGACACACACATTGATGGATACACACATATATGCATTACTATGGGTTCATATCTATTCTTTAAAAAAAAAACAGCCAATGAAAGCTGAAGAGTTCAAAGGGCAACATAACCCTGTATCTTCTTATGCAGAGATCCATATCTTTGGATATTTCCCCTTAAGACATATAAAGTCCAAAACCACTACAGACCTCAAAATATTGGTTTTAGTCTATTCTGAAGCAAAAGCACTCAAGTTGAAGTGTTTCAGAAGTGATATTGAATGTCACAAAACTCTAATGAAGATTAGTTACATACCACACCATTCACTTAAGAAATGGAAGAAAAAGAATGCCATTTGTGACCTTGGGCATCAAACAAATTGCAGAACATATGAATGTCACTTGCCACAAGAACAGACCAGAATTTCACCTCACTGTACAAAATTGATTTATACATTCTTTACGTCTTCATATCGGTGATGTATATCACATGTAACACAGAAGGTACATATATTCCCACATGCACCACAGAGGACTTAAACCTTTTCATGGCCTTTTAAAAATTGTAACTATCTATAAAACACTACGTATTACAGATTTGAATAAAAACAGTCTACATCTTTGCACCAGTGTTTCCACAGCTTCCCTTTTAGTCCCAAATTCTAGTTTTGCTTTTCTAACAGATAAATACATTTGCTTCCCCCAAATTCTCTAAACATTGCTTCTGATACATCTGGGGCATGTTTATAAGAGACTATTTCCAGTCCTTATTTTTCTACAAAACTCTAGATACCATTTTGCCATTACAACACCAGTGTCTATGAATGTTCTCCATCCAAGAACTTTGAAAGGGAGGGCTGGAAACGTCCACAGCTACTCCTGACCACTTGTGCTCTGAAGTCCATGACTGTTGCAATTGGTTCCAAGGACAACGGTGCTTCTCCCCTTTGATCATTTCTTTGTCAAGCTGACTGGCCTTCGATGGTGTGCATACTGCTGGTCGTCTACCACCAGCCGCTCGCAATTTGCTCACTGTGTTTCATGAGACAGTTGTTTGTGGCTGTTTGGAACACATTTGCCTCTTTGGGGATTTATGTGCTAGTTGCAATGCCAACCTCCGTAGTGATCAAAATTTCTTTCTAACTAAAATAGATAATTAGAGGCTGGTAATTATTGGTCAAGAATTATCAGAGTGAAAAAATTAAGCTTCTCATAAATAGTTCTTGGCAATGTCATCTCTTTATATTATCGCATGCCTAACAACCCTTTATTAGGAGCACTTACAAATTTACTCTACTGCTGTTGAGCCTCATAATTTTATATGAGGCAGTTCCTTTGCTGGGTCAAACACACTTAAACTCTCTGGTTTCATCTCTAGCTGTACTAATCCATACCAAATAATAATAATAACAGAAATTGCTCAAAGAGGAAAATGACAATAAATATTTACCATGCCGATAGAAAGAGATGGTGAAAAATGAATTAAAAAGACATGATACACAATGGCTTCTTTCTGTATCCTCGGGTCAAAAGCCAATGCAAACTATGTGAAAGGAACAAAGAAAGACAAAAAATTTCTCATCTGTGCAGACCTCAAAAGAGGGAAATCATTTCCCCAGGAAAGCTGTTAAAATGTTTTGTAGCTCTTTTTCTGTGTGTGTAAAGAAGAAAAGAAACCCCTAAATAGTCACTGGTCTGATTTCCTACTGAAACTGTGTCAAAATGTGGTGGAGACTGGGGTTTTCTTTTTTCCTTAGTAGACATAAGTCAAATCCTTACTGCATTTTTATTGAGTAATTATTCCTGCAGCTCAGACCACGCGTCCATACCTGGCTGCAAGGCAGCACTCAGGCAGAAGGTCTCCAGTACGTACTGGTAGAACACTGATGTTTTTCCTTTCACAGATGTCCCTGGCCAACAGCCTGAGACCAGTATATACAGAAAGAAGGGGTGGAGGGAGGTTGCCTGACGCTGAAACCGCATTAAAACATGTGTGCTACCAAGAAGCAAATGCAAATGACCTGGTTAAAGAAGGAATACAAAGTTTCACCTCACTGGGTCGCCTGCAAACCTTGTTTCCCATCAGGTGACATAATCCTTACTCTAGGCTGATTGAAATGTAAAACAAAATCTGTAAAAACACTATATACCCCCTTAACAAAAAGAGTAAGAGGCTTTTCAGATAGCTTCTAATCCCTCTTCCCTGCTAAATGTCTAGTTGAGATTGTTTTTCGATTAGACAAAAAACTTACATAGATATACACAGCCTAAAAATACCTACCCTCAACAGAGGTATTTTAGCTGACAAAATAATGCTGCCTGCCTCATTTGAAAGACTAAGTATCACACTGGGATTTTAAAAAAGGATATCTTAGCCTTTGTGACATCCCCCCTTTACACCTTCCCTCTCTCTAGATATTAACAACTCGAATGGAGTTTAAGGACTTGGCTGCATGGTCAACCAATCTAACAATTAAATGGATGACATTCATTTATTTAGGCCTCAAGTGCAAGAGAATTACATATTTTATTATTAAAAAAGTATGAATATTAAATATCTAGGCTCTCTGTGAAAAGGAATAGAATTTGCTTCTCTGACGGAGGGTGAATTGCTAAATGCTCAGATCCCAAGAGGAAGTTAGTGTCATATTAGTCCACCATAAGGTAGAAGGGGGAAGCCCTGGTAATACACTAACAATGCAAGGAATGTAAGAGATACAAAAGGAAAGGTATAAAGCAATTTAAAAAGAAGGACCAGGACAAGCCAATGAACAGTATGGATAACTGATACTAAAATTGGAAAACCATGAAGTCCTCTCATTCTCATCATTTAATTCCGATTCTACATGTGCAAAAGAACTTTAATAATGTAGTGACAAATACATTCAATGTGTTCATCTGGATCCTGGAATATATAACAAATCCAGAACCAAAAATAAGTTTACATACGATAGAACTACATAGAAGAGTGACCCACAGTGTTTCACTACATTTTCCATAAGCTGCAAACTCCCAAGAAATGTTTCCACTGAAGCCCGTGTAAAACTGTAGCATGAAGCAGAATCAAGAACGATTGCCACCAATAAACTGCACTCGAGAAATAAAGAGATGGAAAATATTTACATTTGTCATTTGTCAAGAAGAATTCATTTTTTCTAATCCAGCCCCCAAACACACACCCAAGCAAAAGAAAAAGGAGTTTTGAAAGTTTATATAGATGATTTTTTTGGAATCCAAAGTAGAAGGGAATTGCAACATCACTTGACTCTCTCTAACATGTTGCCATTATTCTCTAAACACTCAGTAAAGATGTCAATGTTATTCTATCACACTTGAGAATATGCTATTTAATGTATAAGGAAATCACTCATATGGTTAGGACTGAAATCTGGAAAAATAAAGAGGTAAAGTGATCAACATTTTAGCTGTTGCACGTATGCTCCATTTTGCATAATTCAGCACTTAGACTTTTATAAGCAATAATCCTCTTAAGGGCACATCATTTGAAAACTGTAAAGCAAATCCTATTGAAAAATGATTAGTCAAAATTTTCTGACATGCATTTGAATTTATCTTCATTAATTTCTACAAGAGCATTAGAATTAGAAGTTTTGTTTGGTTTTAATGATCAGTAATGACAGAGCAACCCTGCTACTGAGCATTCTTGGAGCACTTCTGATTAGCATATAATAAAACTTGTTTACCCCCAAAAACAAGTTCAGAGTCTAAAATGTTGAATTTTCTTTTCTGCTTTAGAGTTTGATAATAGGAGAGCATAAGGCTAATTGACTTTTTAATATTATATCACAATTATTTATGGTATAAAATACCATGAAATGATTATGAAATAAAAAACTCTCATAGTATGAAAACACAAATGAATAACAAAAATAGCATAAAGTAATAGCAATTGTCATTTTACTAGTAAAAAAAGATCTGCTTGATAAAGTTTAATTGGCTGGTAAAACTCTTAATGTTATTACCAAGTGCTTACCAAATTAAAAAACATAGTAGGTAACCGCAGAGGAATTGAGGGATAATGGGACAATATGAATAACTGAAAAAATTATCCTTTTAGCCCTAGCCTATATGTGATAAATGCAAAATCTCTGAAAACACTGGCTTGGAGTGACTTCAGAGATCTTTACCCAAATCACTTTTATAAAGATCTATGAAAAGTTTGGTGGGGAATAAAAAAATGATTACTGAATTCTTTACATGATCTTTATGATCATGATTATTTTCAGGCTGTTGAAACCATACATATAAAACTGTTTTATGGCAATTCAAATTATTTATGTTTCCCTATCACAGAAATTCACCACTTTAGATTTTGATACAAAGATGCTTAAGCAACACACAGTAGTGCCATTACCATAATAACTTCTGAAATTAAAACCTGTCTAAAACTCTATGGAAAGCTAACATCCAGTTCATTAACCATTCCTGTTAGTTTTCAATAATGCAAAAATGATTAGAAGTTTAATTTGTTAATCACCTGTGTTTTGACTGGCAGTAGATATGTAATTCTCAGAAGAAGTCTAAACTAGCCCTTGCAGAAAATAAAATGTGCTAATGCCTTATCAGGCCTAATAATAGTAATAAAAAAATCAATCATGCCTAGGTAAAACACTGATGGTTGAACAATTAATTCATCTTGAGCTCTGTTTAATTATATAGGCATTGATGTATATAAGTAGGAGAAAAATCTATCTGTAATAAGGTTAAGAGTGTCACTCACCAATCATGTGATTTGCAACATGAACCTGAATATCCCATTCATTGTAGAAAACCATCTGACACTTGATGCACTGATAGGTCTTCTTCTGAGAAAACAAGTATAAACAGAATTACTTAGACACGTGCACTTTTTATTGTCTTCTTTAAAACAACCCAACCCTACTCACAGCATATTTTTGAGATGCTGGTTTTACAGATGTTGCTACGTGAGCTACTGTTGGGACTGACTGCTTGGGCCAAATTCCATTAGTTCCTTACTAAGACCTTGTGGCTTGATCTTAACACTATACTTTTAGATGCAAACAGTTGGAAGAAATGAAGACATATAATTATGGCAAAATATATTTTTCATGACCTCTAAACTCAAAATCTGAGGTTAGTATTTTAAAAAAATCCGTAACACATGGCTGAGTTTCAGAAACCCATGTCTTTGAAGATCAGGTACACTTTCATGCTAACCAAAATAACTGTGATGTTGCTTTTAGAAATTGTAGGTAAAATAGCCAACATATTGAGATGTATGGAATCTAACTGAGTGATTTAGAGACTGTAATTTTTAGCTGCAGCCTGAAATTTAGACCATGTTTCAGAAGTTCCTAACTACTAGCATTTATATACATATTTTCTCCTATAAAGAAGTCATATCATATTGAACACTCTAACACCATTTTAACATTTTACACAATAGTCCTCTGAAGTGGACAGAGCAGGATTTATAATAATTCCTGTAACATAACTAAAGAAACTGAGACCCAGGGAAGTAGAAAGATTTGCCTGATGTCACAGTACCTTACAGGTAAGAGAAACAAGCTGGTTCTAAATGCTGGGCGCTCGGATAGAAGCAGCCTGTATGATTTTATACCTTTATTACTCTGTCCTCCATATGGCTCAGGACATATTAGATGTCCTCAATAAATAAAGTATTGGTTATGCTTTCTAAAACAGTTACATGAATTCCTTTATGATGAAACTTAATATTTACAATTAAAAACCATCTTGGAAAACAAATTAAACTATTATGGAATAATCCATTTTGAAAATCTCCCAAATGTGAGAAAACAACATTTGTCAAATCACATCAATGACACTTTAAGGCATTCTTACAGAATTATCATTTCATCCACAGTCATACCAAATTGTTTTACTACTGGTAGCAACAGGAAACATCAGTCTGTAAATTGCAATTAATTTTAAAGAACAAAATCAAAGTTAAGCATAAAAATTTGGCATCATTCCATTCGTGATTAAAATTATAAATGCCGGTACTGTAAAATTTTCTTAATTATTGCCATTTAACAAAGTATTTGCTTCTATGACAGAGTATAATAGTATTCCTTGAAAAACACAGAAATGCAGGCATATTTCCAACAGAAGCTTTCTAAATAATCTAACAGGCTTTCTACATTAGGCATATCTTACATTGAGTGTGCTGAATCTAAATCTAACCCAGGCTTGAAAAACCCTGACAATCACCAAGGAAGATTTACTGCGCTGAGCTGTTTACAAGATGCTTTTGATGGTGACATATAGAGCAACATGTGTTGCGTAAATAACATCTATCCCTTTTTTAACAATATTTCCCTTTAGAACTAGTTAGAAAATATTTCTTACTCCCAGATGACCTACATTATATATTGTTTATTAGCATACTTCTAGCATTATTCCTGATATGTGACCTTGCTGAAAAACAAAGAAACATAAACTTAATGGCTAGTCTTTTCTCTTGTTAGCACAGTAAAACATACAATATGTCGAAAACTGTCTCCAAAAATGATGACTGATGAATATGCTGGCAGAGTATACTAGGGCTTTTTTCTTCCTGGTCTAATAATAAAGAATAAAATCACTTGACAAGCCAAAATAATAAAATACCAGCACTTACTACTACCTTCAAAATGAACTGACACATTTTTAGATCTATGTATATAAGTTCTTTTATCATTGAAAGAAAATGCCTTTGTCACTACTGGTAATTCAAATACTAATTTTACTCTGAAGATAGTGTCTAAAATATCTCTTTCTATTCTTATTAGTGAAGTCAGAAGCTCCTAAATTTGGGGCTAGATGGAATAAAAATATAATGTGATCAAAAACAATGTACCATGATCTTAAAATGCTGTATCTTGATCTTCACCTCACTCACTACCCAACTCACATTTCCCAAATGCAAAAGCAATGACAGGCAAACTGGGATGTGCTGAGGTTTTCTTTTAAAGCCATGATAAAAAATTCATTTTTACTCTCGAATTTTTAAAAAGTAATTCCAAAAGACCTTAATTTAAAGCATCCCTAATTATAATTGTAGACTCTCAACAAAATATTTAAGAAACCCCTGCCTACTCATACACCATCTTTAATAAAGTGATTACAACTTTTGCATAGTGTTGGCCTAGGGTTGCTCATTCCCTTGAAGGTAAATCTATTCCAGCTCTGTATGGCTAAATTTATGAAGGAATTCTTCCTAATTCTAGGCCCAAATGTGCTTTTCTGCTACGTTCACCCATTGGTCGAAACTCTAGGCTCTGCAGCTATAAAGAGCAGGTTGGATCCCTTGTCTAATGTGACAGTTACATTAACCCCTTTTCAGTCTGAAAATAGAGGTATCGTACAAGAAACACTTTCAACAATTTTCACCATCCTGGTTATCCTCTTTCAGGTCAACCTTTTAACAAATAGAAACCCAGATTAAGGACAATACTCCAGGGATGCCCTGACCCTTACAGAGTATAGGACTGTCACCTCCATTAGGACAGTTACTTTCATTTATGTAGAAGACAACAAAAAAAGTCAAGGGAGATAATTTCTCTTAAAAGCAGACAAAAGTAGAAACAGAACTTCCATTGTTTGGGCCCCAGATTGGCCTTTATCAACGTTTAAGTTGTCAATTTACTTGAAATGCTAATTTAGTACAATTTTTAAAAGAGTCTTTTTTTCATTAGCTTTTTTTAATGTGCTACTTGGGAGTGGGGTTGTCATTTCCTCATTGTTCTCTTTTGTTTTCTGATACTGATAGATGTAATTATCAAGGATACAACTTTTTCCCAGCACCTCATTATTTTTGATTGATTTTGAGAACAATTTAAATGTGCCTTTTTGACATTCTTGTTTTCAGTTATACTCTGGTTAAGGTACTCAGAGACTTTCACGAAAGAGCATCTCATAAATTAAAAAAATGATTAGGATCTTTAGTAATGTATACTTTAAAAAAACATTATTCTGATTAACACCCTCCCACCCCCACCATTCAATCTCTATTCCATTAGCACTTAGTTTTCATATTTAACTTCACCAAATTAAAAAATATATATATAGTATATAGTATTGCAGTTATACATTGCTTTGATTTTTTTTAAACAAAACACTGGGTATAAAAAAAATCACTGAGTCCACAATAATCTTCAAAAACAGAAAAGGAAAAGGCCTGAGTTGCAACCGTTGGAAGTAGCTATCACATAAATATCTTGTCCTGAAAATTGGTAATTAAAGGTGCAGAAGCATCAAGCTTTTTTAGGAGGCTGTTCATGTCTATTTATCAAAGACTGATAGCAGAAGGGATGACAGAATTAGAAATTCACCATTTTGAAATGCCAAATAAAACAGTGCAGAATAATCATTAATGCGTGTGAAAAGTATTAGGAGAAAGGTTATTCTGAGAGACTCAATTTTCATCCTTTAATAACTACAAAGAGCAAGATGCATTTTTATAGTGGGTTTTTCTGTTGGTAATCATGGTACCAGACCATTACTAGTAACGGGCAATCAGACATTATGTATCTCTCAATGTGATGCAATACGAAGTATAGTTCTTCACAATAGAGTATTCTTACCTAAAATGTATACCTGAATCTAATCAAGCCTATACATGGAACAGTCCAGTTTTCAGGAAATGCAGAGATAGAAAAACAAGTATTACTTTGAGGAAAAAATATATGCAAATCCAGAAGATTCTGCAACACAAATCAAAAACATTCTTGGCCTGTTATCCTCAAAAAGTCAATTTTACAGGGGAAAGAAAAGGGGTGAGATTGTTTTCGAAAGACATTAAAGAAACAACTAATACATGCAGTGTGTATGTAAATGTAATGTGTGGATTCTGATTTGGGGAGAAAACTGATATGAAAAGGTTTTGAAGAAATTGGGGAATTCTGAGTATCAGCTGGTTATTAGATGATATTGGGGAATTACTACTGCTAACTTCCTTAGATGTGGTCATTGTATTGTGGTTATGTGAGCAAATGTCCTTTTTGTTAGGAGATGCCTACTGAATATTAGCAGTGAAATGGCATGATGTTTGCAGATGAGTTTTAAAAAATCCAGAAAAAATATGTAGTCATATACATAAGGCAAATACAGCCAACTGTTAACAATTATTAAATTTAGGTGCATGCTTGAACATTTCATAATAAAAGGTGGGAATAAATGGATAGGATAATTCATCACTTGTATTTTTTTAACACTAAACCTAACCTGATTAACCCCATCCTCTCTGTTTATTTTATACCCTCACACTTGCTGTGCACCAAATATAATTTGTGCTTAGTTATAGTAAGCCATTTTGCAAACATTTTTGTATTTCCTGGTGAGGGTTTTTTGTTAGTTTGTTTTTTCAAATCTCATGTATAAACTCTAAGTTAGGAATCATAGCTTGTATTAATTTCTCTAATAAAGTAATAATAATTTCTTACAACTATATCATGCTGTACAGTCTATAAAGAACTCATATGTATAAAACTCACTTGCAACAAAACTGTGAGAGTTGATAAAGGAGGGATTATTATCCTGATTCACAGATTAATTAACTGACTTATCCCAAGTCATTCAGGTTGTGAATACCATCACCAAGGCCACTATTCTAGCTTGCCTTCTACCCACTGGGTTTTAATAGAGTTTATACTCTGATTGTTTGCAGGCAAATTTATAATTTCATTTTTGGTGCATTTTGAAAGAAGGCTTTCCTTAGAATTGTGTAGCACTTTAGTCTCTGACAATGCCAAGACAGCATGAGAATAGCTTAAAACAGGGAAGGAACGGGTTGTAGCTTCCTTCACCATAGGCTGAAGTCCTGACCTTTGACTAAAATCCATAG